AACAACAACAACAACAACAACAACAACTAGATTCCAGCTCATCAATATCACAAAATAAACAACTAGAATCACTGTAGCTGTAAGCCTGGCCCTCACCACCCTGGCCACTTTTGGGGTCTTTAGCAAAACACACTGGGTTTCTGACGCTCAGACAGACAGCTGGTGAGCAGCAGCGACCCTGCACTCCAGTTCACCAGGAAACCCGTGTCCTTGCTTGCCATCTCTCCTCTCCCCAAATGCCCAGGTTGCCCATGAACTCAGAGATCATCCTGCCTCAGCCTCCTGAGTGCTTGGATTATAAACAAGCACCATCACATTGAGCAAGGACTGGCTTATAAACAAAGTGCTCAAATGGTCATAGTCTTGGGGCCTTTAGAAAAAGGTCCAGAGCATGGGGAACTTAAGGGGCACAAGGATTTTGGCCCCTCGAAGGGCACTCATTACTGTGCAGAGAGTGGACTGCAGGGGCTTGGGAGGAGAAGTCACCAACAGTTACTCGAAGTCAGCTGCAACCCGAAAGCAAATCCAGCCAACTCATTATACTGATGTAAGAAAATGATGGTGGCACCAAAAATTCTGACTGGTTATGTGTGGTGGCACATACCTGTCATCCTGTTGCGGGCTGCCAAGTAAGATAGAAATATAGGCAGTCCAACAGAGCCAGGCCCGCAGGGAGACAAGATGGAAGACAGGGTGACTTTACAACTGGGAAGAGACAGCCACTCCCACATGGGCCACACCTCAAGACGAAAGAGAAAACACAGCTACACACTTCCCCAGGGATGGGCATCAGGGATTGATATTCTAAATAGGAATCAATCACCTTGAAAGAGCCCACATCAGTCACTAGCCCAACCCCCAACCGGAAGAGACCCTGTCTCACATTCACGGCGCGCGCTTGCTACGTGAATCGCTTCCCCATTCGGTACTGGATTTAATCAATTTTACCTGAGCAATGGTGCTTGTAGTCTCATGGGTTGATCATAACTTTGTCCCACCTCATGCCCACCTGAGCGAGTTCCCAAGTCTTCTCCAGCCCCTTAGACCCACCTCACCGCATGGTTTTCCTCTATAAAAGTCCCTAGAAGAGACAGCTTCCTGGGGAACAACATGTGCGGCCCCCCTCCTGTCCCTCTCTTGGACAGGAGCTTTCTTTCCATCAATAAATATATTCTGCTCATAACCTCCGTTTGTTCCTAAAATTCATTCTTTGGTTTTAGAGAACAAGAACTCGTGCAGGTCAGGTCGGAAGATCATTTTTCCCTGTGTCATTTGAAGGTTCCGAGTATCATCTGGAGGTCACCCATCCGAGACCAGTTCTCCCTGTATCAATTCCAGCACTCAGGAGGCTGAGGCAGGAGGACTGTAGGGTTGTGGTTGTTGTTTTTCTCTTTTAAATGTGTTCAGAACAGGATCTACAGGATCTCACTACACAGATCGGACTCGTAGGACTCATAATAATTCTGTTTTCAGTCCCCCAAACGCGGAGATTATAGGCACGCGCCCCACGCACACGCCCAGTTTCAGCGATCCCCTAAACTGGCGCTTTAATCTGACCGGCCCTTACTGCAGCGGGTTTGAGGCCTGCCTGGGCTACAGAGAGACCCTGTAAAACCCCTAGGTCTTATTTCGTGGCTGCAAGCTGAGTTCCGCCTCTGCAAGAGGGAGGAGGGCCGCGGAGGGCCGGGGGTGCAGGCGAGGCTGGCTCCAGCCTTGGGCGTCTGGATCCCAAATTTTTGTCCCTCCATCCCAATAAGTATCAGTCCATTCCTGAACCCAAGACACTCCCCAGCACCCCGTCAGTCACCTGTGACGGGCCAGCCATTGAGTACTCACCGCTGGCCTCGGCCCCCAGGTCCCCCACCTGGCCACCACAATCGCCGCACTCCGGGTGCGCCACGGCGTGCCGCGCTCTCCCGGGCAGCTTTCCCCTATCTCTGCTCCCGCCTCCAGAGGGCTTCCCATTGGCCGTTGGGTTCCTCTGCCTGCTCTCTAATTGGCTTCGCTGCCGGGAAACTCCAACCAATCACCTCTCGGTATTTGTTTCCCTCCTCCAAGCTTGGAAGCCCATTGGTTCCGAGGGCTCGGTCCTGTCCGCCTGCCCGGGTCCGGGGCAAATCCTTCCTTCTAGGTTTGGATATCCGTGCTGGGACTTTGGTTCCCAACCCGGCGGAACCGGGGCCGGGCGACGTCGGGTCACGTGGCCCGCGGCTCCCATGACGCGTGGGCTCCGGGGCGTCACGGCGACAATCGGGCACCTCCGCCTGCTGTGCTGCCGCGGTGCTATCATGGATCTGGGACCCATGCGCAAGAGTTACCGTGGGGACTGCGAGGTGCGGGTCGGGGGCGGGTCACCTGCGAGGGCGTGGGGTGGGGACTGCGGCTCTGGGACCACCGCGGGGAGCCGGGGACAGGTCTCCCAGCGTGAGGATGGGGGCCAGGGGTCGAAGGTGGGGGCCTGGGTAGGATTCGAGCGGTAGGATTCGAGCTCTCGAGTGGTTGCAGTGTCAGGCCTTCCTTTCCCACGAGGATGCTATGGACATTGATTTTTTTAAAAAACATTTATTTATTTTGTGTGTGTGTGTGTGTGTGTGTGTGTGTGGCCAGCTCAGCCCACCAGCTGTCATGTGGTGCTGGGGAATCGAACCGCGGTCCCTGTCCTTTGCCAGGCTTGTTCCAAAGTAGGTGCTTTAGACCACTGAGCCATCTCGCCAGCCCCTGGACATTGATATTTGAAAAGCAGTTTATGAATGTTTAATAAATAAAATGAGTAGCTGGGCATGATAGAGCCGGCTTGTCATCTGAGCAATCAGGGAGGTTGAAGCAGGCGGATCACAAGTTTGACTTAGGTCTGGGCAGTTTAGTGATGTCATGAGACGCTGTCTCACAATTTTAATTTTTTCGTTTGGTTTTGATATTTTGACCTAGGGACCTCCCACCCACCCATGTAGTTCAGGCTGGGCTCGAGCACGCAGTGATCCACCTCCTTCAGCCTCCCCAGTGCTGGGATGACAGACAGACGCACACCCCCAGGCCCAGCTGTTGTCTCATACTTTAACAAAAGGCCCGGGCTGTAGCTCAGTGTAAAGGCCCTGCGCTCAAGCCCTTGGGTCAACGCCCAGTACTGCGAAAGATACATAAGTGCTATGTTGGATGTCAGCTCTCACGATGGCCACTGCCTTCTGCTCAGCGTGCGAAGCTCTGTCCCTCCCCCAGGCTCGGACTGAGAGAACTTTTTGGACTTGGGAATCCTGAGCTTTGGTTACACAATGTGGTTACAGGAGCACTTGTGGAAAAGCTTGTTTAAAACAGCTATTGATTAAACCTTAGGCCTGAGCAAAGATTTAGAAGGTGCAGCCCAGGTCTTCCATTTTTCAGATCCCCTGATCATTTGGGTCTGGCACCCCAGTGCCCCTGGCATCCCTTACTGGCTGTGCCACGCAGCATTTGGCCTTCTTAGTTTTTTGGATTTTTTTTTTTTTTTTGCAGAACCAAGGATTGAACTCAAGCCCTTGCACTTGCCAGGCAAGCACTTATTCTACTGAGCCATCTTCCTGGCCCCTCATTTAGCCTTTTTATGCCTGCTGCATCACCTGAAAAATAGGACAGAAGACCTACTGTCTTTTGTTAGTTTATTCTCCCCCCCCCTTTTTTTTCCCTATGCAGTCCATTCTGGCCTTGAACTCACAGTGTAGCCTACTCTGGCTTCAAACTTGAGGTGATCCTCCTGCCTGACCCTCCTGAGTAGTGGGATTACAGGCGTGCACCACCATAAGAACAGAATAAGGAGGACTGGGGAGATGGCTCAGTAGAATAAGCCCTTGCCTGGCAAGCACAAGGGCCTGAGTTCAATCCCTGGTTCCACAAAAATAAAATAAAAAAGAACAGAATGAGGGCCAGCGATGTACATCATGCCTGGCTGGCAAGCCCAAGATCCTAATTCCCAGTACCAAAAGAAGAAGGAGGAGGAGAAGAGAATGAATTAATATTTGGAGGGCTGGGGAGATAGCTCAGTGGTCTAAACGCTTGCTTGGCAAGCACAAGGACCTGGATTTGATCCCTAGTACCACATGCCGTGCCGGCCTCCAAAACCAGGCATGGTGGCACAGGCCGGTAATCCCAGCACTGGGGAGGTTGAAGCAGGAGGATCACCCTGTGTTCAAGGCCAGCCTGGGCTATGCCGTGAGACTGTCACAAACAGGAGGATCACTTCAAGTTCACTCTAGACCACATGGGCAGACCCTGCCTTATAAAAGGGAACGGGCTCAGGTCAGGGCCCTGAGCATCGCATGTGTGCACCTCCCGGCTTCTTTAATGAGTAACCCCCACCCCACCCCACCCCACCCCACCCCCAGGCTTTCGAGGAGACTCACCTGGCCTCGATGGACCCCATGAAGCAGTTCGCTTCCTGGTTTGAGGAGGCCGTCCAGTGTCCTGAGATCGGGGAAGCCAATGCCATGTGTCTGGCTACCTGCACAAGGTAGGCACAAGTTCAGGCCCCTGTGTGGTTGTGTACAGAGGAGGTCAGAGCTTAGAAAGCGCTTCCTCAATTCAGTGGAGAACAGCCTTGTGGTTCCAGCTTTGCTCTGAGATGCTGTGTGGCCTCAGGCAGGTAACTTGTCCTCTCTGGGCCTTAATCGCCTTAGCTATAAACCAAAGAGCAGCCACTACATCCCATTGCAGTGGTAAACAGTGCCTTGCGCATCCCTGTTCTCTTGGTTTTGTTTGTTTTTTGAGACAAGGTCTCTTGCCGTGTAGCCCAGGCTGGCCTTGAACTTTCAGTCCTCCTGCTTCAGCCTCTCGAGTGCTAGGATTACAGATATGCACCACCAGCCCTTGGGGCTGTAATCCCTTGCCTGCTTCACCTCCCTGTCTGTCCATAAGCTCCATCTCAGCCAGACCTGGTGGCAGGAGCCTATCATCCCAGCACCCCAGGCTGAGGCAGGAGGGTCACAAGTTTGAAGTCAGTCTGGGTAACTTATGAACTTAGCAAGACCTTGTCTCAAAATAAAAATATAAAAGGGCTGAGAATGGAGCTCAGGGAAAAGCCCCTGGGTTCCATCCCGATACTCCCCAGCTGCGCCCTGGGGAACTGCTCTGCGAATGACGCCCAGTCCCTCTTGGCACCAAGCACAATGCACAGCCATCGGCCATCAGCCACGGTCCCTCCAAGACGTCTCAGGTATCAGCCTCTCATTTTGCTCTTCTTGCCCCTCCACTTCAGTGTGAGGCCTTGAGCTTGGGGCTCCTGGGTCCCCCTGAGGTGACCGGAGGACCTGACCCCTGACCCCACCCTGAGCCGTGAGTCCCGGCTGCACTAGCGCGGGCCCCGTCCTTGCCTCGTTGGTTTGCTGCAGCTGCCATAACAAAGTGCCCTCCATGCCACTGTGTGTTTTCAGACCGTGGAGGCCAAGCCCAACATCAAGGTCCTGGTCTGGCTGGTTTCTCTTGAGGCCTCTGCGCGTGGCTGCCTTTTCCTGGGTTTCATAGGTCCCAGCCTCTGTGCGTGCAGAGACAGCCTCGCTCTGTGGCGCTTCCTCCTCCTCCTCCTC